TCCACTCCGAATTTTATCTTTCCCGCACCTGATTTTCCCTCTCGTCTCTCCGTCACTCGTCTTTCCTTCCGCTTGTTTTTGCTACTGTGTTGCTTTCTCCCCGCTTCTTTTCCTTTTTCTCGACATTCTGAGCCTGTCCCATTCAAAAATTACTATCTCTTCGCAGTCCTTGCACGTCTTCCCCATATCTCTCTGTTCTTTCCTTCTGGTGGAAAATTGATTTTTCAAAGACTATGTTGACTGAGTTTTTCAGAATGAACAAAAAAATGCTACAGCTAGAATTTGAAGTGCTTATATAAAGATTTTCTGCAACATTTTTTATGGACTCCAAAAATAAAGACATGGTCAGAGAGGAGTCGTAGAAAGGTCATAGGGAGACTGGTAACTGTCGAGCCTAGGAAAGGAGAAAGTACTACATAAGACTTTTACTCACACATGTTCAGGAACCAACGTCATTTGATGACTTACTTATGGTTAGAGGTCACAAAACTGGCTCTTTTAGAGAAGCCTGTTTGCAGTTAGGATTATTGGAATCTGATTCCATATAGAAGAAGCATTACAGGAAGCTGCTCATTTCCAGATGCCATTTGTTAAGGTCTTTATTTGCAATGCTTCTGTTTTATTGTTCTCAAAAAATCCCAAACATCTTTGGCAAGCATTTGAAGAGCAGCTATCTTCTGATTATAAACGAAGTTGCGCACATCGACACTGCACATCAATAGAGATTAAAAGGAAACTTCTTCAGGATATTAATTCAACATTGGAACACATGGGAAAAACCTTGATGACTATCATTTTCTCGAAGATTCCTTTACATCCCATTATGGTGAGCCCCTGACTAAAGAAATTAAAAGTGAAACTGCGACACCGATTGATCCAGAAGATCTGCTTCTTCCTCAAAAATTGAATGCTGGATGAAGGCATGCATTTAATTTGATTCTGGATTCAATATCCAGCTCAAAAGGTCAAGTTTTTTTATTGATAGTCCGGTGGAATGGGTAAAACTTTCTTATATCGAGTGCTTCTCGCTTTTCTTCGTTCACAAGGATAAGTGGCAATTGCAGTTGCACATCTGGGGTCGCAGCACCTATCATCCTTGGTAGTCGAATTGCACACTCAAAATATAAGATTCCTTTGGATTTTTTAAAACAAAAAACTTGTCAACAAAGTAAGTAGAGCAGTGTTGCCAGGCTGATTATTAATGCCAAATTAATCTTGTAGGATGAGGCTTCAATGGCAAAAACGGAAACAATAGAGGCAGTTCATTGTCTTCTTACAGATATAATGGAATCTGATGTACCCTTTGGAGGAAAACTATTATTTTGTGATTTTTGCCAAACCCTGTCAGTTATTGAACAGCTTAGCGAGTCAGATTCGATCAAATCGACTGTTCTATATTATATTTATGGTCTCATATGCGTAAGCAGCGACTGGCAACAAATATGAGAGCTGCTTAGATCCACATTTTGAACTTTTTTGATTAGAGTAGGAAAGATGTTGAACCTGTTGATGAACATGGTCAGATGTCCCTTCCACCTCATATAGTTATTTCTTATCATAACAAAGAAGAGTCGCTTGAGAGGTTATAATCAGATAGTGCATTATAAGTAGTTCATTCCGTCGTGTATTTTTTACTATTTGTCCTAATTATGTAAATTCTTCCAGGTTATTTGGGATCGTCTTTCTGATTTAAATCTGTACTCTTGTAATCCTTATCGAATGATAAATAGATGTGTACTTTGTCCAAAAAATAATTCAGTGGATGAAATTAATAGGATGATGATTGCAAAATTTCCGAAAAATCTTCACAGTTAGAAGTTGTGATAGAACTGTTGATAAGGAAATCAGACAGATTATGAGGACTTTGTAAATTCTTTTAACCCAAAAGGTCCGCCTCCTCATGAACTTTTACACCAAGAAAGCTGTCCTATAATGCTTCTAAGAAATGTGAATCCAACTGGATGGTCTTTGCAATGGCACACGGTTAATCTGTAGAGAATTGGGTGAGCTCACAATTACTGCGGAAATTTTCTCTGGTCCTCATAAAGGGAAAAAGTTTTCATTCTAAAAATTCCTTGCGGACTTTTGATAGCGAAAAAAATGGTATTCCATTTATACGGACACAGTTTCATGTCCGTTTATGCTTTGCAATGACAATCAATAAACCTTAGGGTCAGACTCTTGACTATGTTGAAATTTCACAGTGAACCTGTCTTTTCTCACGGCCAGCTTTATGTTGCTCTCTCTAGAGTTAGGAATTCTTCCGTAGTTAAAGCTTTAATTGCTCCGGGTACTTCTGATGACATCAAGGTTGATTGTAAAACAAGAAATGTCGTCTTTCATGATAAATTTGCTTGACTAACACATGATATATGAGGTCTGATTACCCGTACCATTGAATACTTTTAGTTTATGATTTGAAGAATCAAATGCTGTTGCCAATTTCCCATTCTATTTCTGTTTTCTAAAAATTTACAGAATGGAACATGTTATCCCAGCAAAGACGTCCTACCTGGCTCTGAAGGCAGGACCTGCAAAGTCACCGTGCAAGAAAAAACAGATAACTGGATCAGCAACGCTGCCAATAAAAAATGTTTATTTTGTTGGATTCAGAGGTCTTCTCCCAGTTGATATATACTTCTTCATACTGCATGATTAAACATTTATCGCTAAAAGAGCGCATTAATATGGTTCTTATATTTTTCATATAATTAAGGCATGTCTGTTTTTATCTACAGGTCAATGCATGCATAATTGATTATTTCGTGAATATTTTCCTTGTGGATAGGGATCGGAGATTGAAGGGATGTGTTCAATAATGACATTCCAAAGATCAGCCCTGGCTTTCAAGTTTATAAAAAGTATCCGATTTCAAATTATAGTGAGGCTCATTCCAGTAAAATGTCAAACTGCTGAACTGAAGATCCAGTGGGTGGAAGCCCCCTTGCCGCGTAGGTATCGTCGTCCTCCACGTGGCGAGACGGGATTGGCACGATGGTGACATGGTGCAAATTGATTGGTTGTCAACTGTGCCTGTTGCTCCTGATTCTTCCTCCCCTTTGTTCGTCGTCCCGTCTTTCTTCCTGCCGTTGAATTCACTGTGATTTTCTACAGATGTTCGATTGAGATGGTTAGCTACTCTCTACTCGCTCATCAGGCTCCTCTTTACCGGCTCTAACCTGTTTCTTTCTTTTTTTACTCCGCCACATATTGGTGTGTCTCCACTCCGAATTTTATCTTTCCCGACCTGATTTTCCCTCTCCTCTCTCCGTCATTCGTCTTTCCTTCCGCTTGTTTTTGCTACTGTATTGCTTTCTCCCCGCTTCTTTTTCAATTTTCTCGACATTCTGAGCCTGCCCATTCAGAAATTACTATCTCTTCGCAGTCCTTGCACATCTTCCCCACATTCTCTCTGTTCTTTCATTCTTGTGGAAAATTGATTTTTCAAAAACTATATTTACTGAGTTTTTTAAATGAACAAAACAATGCTACAACTCAGAATTTGAATGCTTATATAAAGATTTTCTGCAACATTTTTTATGGTCTCCAAAAATAAAGACATGGTCAGAGAGGAGTCGTACAAAGGTCATAGGGAGACTGGTAACTGTCGAGCTTAGGAAAGGAGAAAGGTACAACATAAAACTTTTACTCACACATGTTCAGGAACCAACGTTGTTTGATGACTTACTTATGGTTAGAGGTCACAAAACTGGCTTTTTAGAGAAGCCTGTTTGCAGCTAGGATTATTGGAATCTGATTCCTATATAGAAGAAGCATTACAGGAAACTGCTCATTTCCAGATGCCATATTGTTAAGATCTTTATTTGCAATGCTTCTATTTTATTGTTCTCCAAAAAATCCCAAACATCTTTGGCAAACATTTGAAGTGCAGCTATCTTTTGATTATAAATGAAGTGCACATCGGCACATTAATAGAGATTAAAATGAAAGTTCTTCAGGATATTTATTCAACATTGGAACACATGGAAAAAATCTTGATGACTATCATTTCCTTGAAGATTCCTTTACATCCCGTTATGGTGAGCCCCTGACTAAAGAAATTAAAAGTGAAACTGCGACACCGATTGATCTAGAAGATCTGCTTCTTCCTCGAAAATTGAATGCTGGATGAAGGCATGCATTTAATTTGATTCTGGATTCAATATCCAGCTCAAAAGGTCAAGTTTTTTTATTGATAGTCCAGGTGGAACGGGTACAACTTTCTTATATCGAGTGCTTCTCGTTTTCTTCGTTGACAAGGATATGTGGCAATTGCAGTTGCCACATCTGGGGTCGTAGCACCTATCATCCCTGGTGGTAGAACTGCACACTCAAAATATAAGATTCCTTTGGATTTTTTAAAAGAAAAAACTTGTCAACAAAGTAAGTAGAGCAGTGTTGCCAGGCGATTATTAATGCTAAATTAATCTTGTAGGATGAGACTTCAATGGCAAAAACGGAAACAATAGAGGCGGTTCATTGTCTTCTTACAGATATAATGGAATCTGATGTACCCTTCGGAGGAAAAACTATTATTTTTTGCGGTGATTTTCGCCAAACCCTGCTAGTTATTGAACAGCTAGGCGAGTCAGATTCGATCAAATCACTGTTTTATATTTACATTTATGGTCTCATATGCATAAGCAGCGACTAGCAACGAATATGAGAGCTGCCTTAGATCCAGTATTTTCAGCTTTTTTTATTGGAGTAGGAGAAGATGTTGAACTTGTTGATGAACTTGGTCAGATGTCCCTTCCACCTCATATGGTTGTTTTTTTCATAACAAAGAAGAGTCGCTTGACAGGTTATATCATATAGTGCACTATAAGTAGTTCATTCCGTCCGTGTATTTTTGACTATTTGTCCTAATTACATGTAAATTCTTCCAGGTTATTATTTGGGATTGTCTTTCCTGATTTAAATCTGTACTCTTGTAATCCTTATCAAATTAAATAGATGTACTTTGTCCAAAAAATAGTTCAGTGGATGAAATTAATAAGATGACGGTTGCAAAATTTCCTAAAAATCTTCACAGATATAGAAGTTGTGAAAGAACTGTTGATAAGAGAAATCAGATAGATTATGAGGACTTTCTAAATTCTTTTAACCCAAAAGGTCTGCCTCCTCATGAACTTTTACGCAACGAAAACTGTCCTACAATGCTTCTAAGAAATGTGAATCCAACGGATGGTCTTTGCAATGGCACACGGTTAATCTGTAGAGAATTGGATGAGCTCACAATTACTGCGGAAAGTTTCTCTGGTCCTCATAAAGGGAAAAAGTCTTCATTCCAAAAATTCCTTTGCGGACTTTTGATAGCGAAAAGAATGGTATTCCATTTATACGGACATAGTTTGACGTCCGTTTATGCTTTGCAATGACAATCAATAAACCTCTGGGTCAAACTCTTGACTATGTTGAAATTTATCTCAGTGAACCGGTCTTTTCTCACGGCAAGCTTTCTGTTGCTCTTTCTAGAGTTAGGAATTCTTCCGCAGTTAAAGCTTTAAGTGCTCCGGGTACATCTGATGACATCAAAGTTGATTGTAAAACAAGAAATGTTGTCTTTCATGAGATATTTTGCTTGACTAACACATGATATATGAGGTCTGATTACCCGTATCATTGAATACTTATTGGTTTATGATTTCAAGAATCAAATGCTGTTGCCAATTTCCCATTCTATTTCTGTTTTCTAAAAATTTACAGAATGGAACATGTTATCCTTGTCAAAGACGTCCTACCTGGCTCTGAAGGCAGGACCTGCAAAGTCACCGTGTAAGAAAAACAGTAGATAACTGGATCAGCAACTCCGCCAGTAAAAAAATGAAAGTTTATTTTGTTGGATTCAGAGGTCTTCTCCTTGCTGCCATGATGTATACTTCTTCATACTGCTTGATTAAACATTTCATCGCTAAAAGAGCGCATTAATATGGTTCTTATATTTTTCATATAATTAAGAAATGTTCTGTTTTTATCTACAGGTCAATGCATGCATAATTGATTATTTCGTGAATATTGTCCTTGTGGATAGGGATCGGAGATTGAAGGGATTATGTTCAATAATGACATTCCAAACATCAGCCCTAGCCTTCAAGTTTATAGAAAGTATCCGATTTCAAATGCCATAGTAAGGCTCATTCCAATAAAATGTCAAGCTGCTGAATTGAAGATCCAGTGAGTGTGGAAGCCCCCTTGCCACGTAGGTATCGTCGTCCTTCACGCGGTGATACGGGATTGGCACGATGGTGACATCGCGCAAATTGATTGGTTGTCAACTGTGCCCGTTGCACCTGATTCTTCCTCCCCTTTGTTCGTCGTCCCGTCTTTCCTTCCTACCGTTTAATTCTACTGTGATTTTCTACACATTTTCGATTGAGGTGGTCAGCTACTCTCTACTCGCTCATCAGGCTCCTCTTTACCGGCTCTAACCTGCTTCCTTCTTTTTTTTCTCCGCCACTTATTGGTGTTGTTTCCAATCCGTATTTTATCTTTCTCGTGCTAGATTTTCCTTCTCCTGTCTCCTTCGTTCGACTTTCCTTCCGCTTGTTTTTGCTACTGTGTTGCTTTCTCCGCGCTTCTTTTTCTCTTTTCTCGACATTCTGAGGCTGCTCCCATTCAAAAATTACTGTCTCTTCGCGGTCCTTGCACGTTTTCCCCACATTCTCTCTGTTCTTTCCTTCCGTTGGAAAATTGATTTTTCAAAGACTATGGTGACTGAGTTTTTCAGAATGAACAAACAAATGCTACAGCTCAGAATTTGAAGTGCTTATATAAAGATTTTCTGCAACATTTTTTATGGACTCCAAAAATAAAGACATGGTCAGAGAGGAGTCGTAGAAAGGTCATAGGTAGACTGGTAACTGTCCAACCTAGGAAAGGAGAAAGGTACTACATAAGACTTTTACTCACACATGTTCAGGAACCAACGTCGTTTGATGACTTACTTATGGTTAGGGGTCACGGAACTAGCTTTTTAGAGAAGCCTGTTTGCAGTTAGGATTATTGGAATCTGATTCCTATATAGAAAAGTATTACATGAAGGTCCTCATTTCCAGATGCCATATTTGTTAAGGTTTTTATTTGCAATGCTTCTGTTTTATTGTTCTCCAAAAAATCCCAAACATCTTTGGCAAGCATTTTAAGTGCACCTATCTTCTGATGATTAACGAAGTTGCGCACATCGACACTGCACATCAATAGAGATGAAAAGGAAAGTTCTTCAGGATATTAATTCAACATTGGAACACATGGGAAAAACCTTGATGACTATCATTTCCTCGAAAATTCCTTTACATCCGGTTATGGTGAGCCCCTGACTAAAGAAATTAAAAGTGAAACTGCGACCCCGATTGATCCAGAAGATCTGCTTCTTCCTCGAATATTGAATGCTGGATGAAGGCATGCATTTAATTTGATTATGGATTCAATATCCAGCTCAAAAGGTCAAGTTTTTTTGTTGATAGTCCTGGTGGAACGGGTAAAACTTTCTTATGTCGAGTGCTTCTCGCTTTTCTTCGTTCACAAGGATATGTGGCAATTGTAGTTGCCACATCTGGGGTCGCAGCACCTATTATATCTGGTGGTAGAACTGCACACTAAAAATATAGGATTCCTTTGGATTTTTTAAAACAAAAAACTTGTCAACAAAGTAAGTAGAGCAGTGTTGCCATGCTGATTATTAATGCTAAATTAATCTTGTAGGATATGGCTTCAATGGCAAAAATGAAAACAATAGAGGCAGTTCGTTGTCTTCTTACAGATATAATGGAATCTGATGTACCCTTTGGAGGTAAAGCTATTATTTTTTGCGGTGATTTTTGCCAAACCCTGCCAATCATTGAACAGCTAGGCGAGTCAGATTCGATCAAATCGACTGTTCGATAGTTATATTTATGGTCTCTTATGCGTAAGCACCGACTGGCAACAAATATGAGAGCTGCCTTAGATCCAGCATTTTTAATTTTTTTTATTAGAGTAGGAGAAGATGTTGAACTTGTTGATGAACATGGTCAGATGTCCCTTCCACCTCATATTATTTTTTATCATAACAAAGAAGAGTCACTTGACAGGTTATAATCATATAGTGCATTATAAGTCACTACAAGAAAATTGGTCTTTAGTGACAGGCTATTTTTGTCACAAAAAAATAAAAAGTCGTCACTGATGACTTTTATTGACAACTTTCTAATTGTCACAGGGTCGTCACTGAAGGCCCGTCGGTAAAAGTATATGGTGACGACAATAAAAGTCGTCAGTGAATGGGACTGTTTTGACAACATATGTCGTCAGTAATTATTGTAATTTTAGTGATGACATAATATCTTGTCAATGATATACAAAGCAATGTCGTCACTAAAAGTGGTCCGTAATTGTCATTGGTATAGACTAATTACTGACAACTTTTGTTGTCACTAAACACTTTTTAATTCTATGACAAGGTTGTTATTAATGGAAAATTCTGATTCAGTGATAACATTTTATCACCATGAAATTTGTCAGATTTTCCTACTACAATTATATCTATAAATGAAAAAAATGACAATGCTTGACAATTAGCAAATGAACGCATCCATTGCATTACGAAATGCCAAAATATCATATCAAGCATTCAAATATCATAATGAAGTTCAACAACCCCTACAAATATTTGATAAGTGGTATTTGGCCTAAATTTCACATATAAGTCGAGGTAGCTTTACAAAACAAATCCAAGTCCCAAAAAAAAAAGTGTTGTCATGACATTTCCTAAGTATAAGATTTTCTTTATCGTCCTTGAGTGAATTGGCAACTCCTGCTGCTGATCTTCCAAAAAGCTAAAATGAGCAACATATCTGCAGTGAAGTACTGCAATTATTAGTAGGTCATAAGAAAAACTTGAAACAATAAAGATAACTAAAGAATTTGCAAGAAAATAAGCTAAATCATTCCTTTTAAGTATAATCTAGACAATGACTAAATAAGGGTAAAGTAAGAGATAAACACTTAGAACATTAGAGCTCAAGAAACACTTCTTTTACTTTTACTACGTTATTAAGAACTCACAAAACAATTAATATGCTTATGCTACCATATTAAGAACCAAACAGTGTTCCTTCTATGGCTTCATAGGCTCCATTTGTATGGTTCATTCTATAGATTATGCATAGCAACTTCAACTTTTCAGGTATTGAAAATGCATATTGTTTATCGCTAGACCAAATTTTGATGACAAATAAAATTCGACATATCTAGAGATTCTTAGCGCCCATTGGTAATATTTTAATGATTTTAATAATAAAATGATGCATCTAATATTTTAGTGAAACTGTGTAAAAAATGGAAAAGATGCTCCACTATAAATCGAAGCTTTGACTATGAGGCGAACCAGTACATTCACTAACCAACCTACTTTCAATTTTCAAAAGTTCTAATAGCAAATATCACATGCTAGTAGCTTAAATAGCATAAAAGTAAGTAGTTATCAAGAAAAGTTTGCATAAGATGTCATGAAATACTAGATTATGAAATTTCTTTTCTACTAGTTAGCTTAGAGACCACTGTAGCTTGTTTATATGCAAATGTCTCCTAGAACAAAGTTATAATTGTCACTTTTACATAAACTTTGTTGACAAGACCCAACCATTTGAAACAAGTCTAACATAGATAGAAAGGAGTATATACTTACCCAAAAAACATCACAATATTTGGAAATTCCATAGCAAGGACCAATAGCATCAGCATAATAAGCTGCAAGACAATAACAAACCAATGAAGTCGCTATGAAATGATACTGTGCATTATAAGCTCAAAGACAATGAATAAAATGGTAGCTGTAGTGCTTATAAGAAAATGTTTGCATATAAAACATATGTTTCCTTCTTTTAATTTTGATACTAATCTATACTTGTACCTAATAACGTTACAACTACATATTCCAAGAACACTACATAATCGTCAAAACTTACATATTCATTCAGGTAGTCCATCACCAAATATGAAAAAAAATGGTAGGAAAGAACTACTTATTCAAGATAAACTCTAGAATTTGGACAATGAAAATCAAGCTTGATGTATACCTTTGGCAAGGAAAATGCTGTCTCCAGCTTATACCATAATCTGAATATCATGATTTCCTCACAAAAACTAAAAACACCTGCTTGTAACATAGTTAGCTATACAAGGCAATTAAAAGTAGTATCACAAAGTCCATACTCCTTAACTAACCACAAAACTTGAGAAAATTACGACTCCCAATGCAAAAGATGTGCAATATATACAAATTTCCCATGCGGCTTTTGTATTATATTTGAATTATGCTCCACTTCAGCAACCAAAAGTTGTTCATAAGCAAGCCTCTAGAATTAGCATTACAGTCAGCCATGAACCTTTTATTGACTTCATTAGTTGCACATTGGGAGTTCAAATGTAACTTACCTAACTTTAAAAAAGGCAATATAACTTTTCTCTTGCAATTTAAAGAAATCAGAACTTCACTTCCAAAACTGAAGAACTATTAAAAAACATAAAAAATAATAAATTATTTCATTCATGTACCAAAACTTGATCTCTATTGGATGGAGTACTGAATGGACATAACGTCGGTGATGGTGCAGAGAATGGAGATGAGATTTTCTCTTGAAATTCCCATGACAATTTACCAAATTTCAACACAAAAAAAGAAAAGAGGGGAATTTTTTACATCAGAAAAAATTCCACTAAACCTTGTGATTTCCCAATTCCCTCTCCACCCAACACCACTTAACCCACTATTTTTCTCACTTGCAACCACTCATAGACATATCTACATCATAATCAC